TAAAATAAATATTATTATTTGAACATTTTCTATATAATAATCCAATAATAATAAACGTGCAACGCACGTTCCCAATGACTAGTATATATATATATATATATATATAGTAAAGTAATAATGTGAGATGGTGATACTATGATGATATGATAGAAGATAGATAGATGATAGTCAATTATATGCTTAGTCATAAAGAAGGTAAACATATGAGAATTCAGCTGTGGTTAAGAATGAATATATAGGATTCTAAACACTCCAAATCTTGACCCAACGACTACCCAAATTCTTAAGCTAGGACTAACACCTAGCAAACCACAACCTGCTAGGAAGACCATTGCATTCAATCACCAAACTCAAATTAAAGTCCGAATTCTCCGAGACTTTGAACAAGATGTTACCTTTTCACCGTTGTTTGAGAAATAATGTTGATCATGTAATTTGGTAAAAGAAAGAACGAAATAGGTAGATCAGTTAGGACTTTGATCAAACACATAATGTAGAATCTGTTGGTGCTGTCATTTAGTCTACAGAACATGTTTTTAATAACCTTTTGCATAATGTAATTAGTCTTCAAAAAGAGTTTCAACAAATTAAATAAAAAGTAACCATTGCGCTTTTAATCAGAAAGTTTGAGGCTTGAGTGAAGACAAACAAAATCGGATCAAGTTAGGACGGTTCCTTGCAATAGCAACCAAGGCGGTATTTGTCATTTGGCAGCACAAGTATAGAAACGAGTGGAGCAACAAGGCCTCTCTCTGTCAAGGACACATCCGGTTCACTGAAATAACGGGATATTCTTCCGGCCAACTACTTGAAGCTCGTCTCCTCCCCTCATATCTTCAGCATAAATCTTAATCTTCTTAGCGGAATCTTCAAGTTGAGGGCTCTCTACAAGTTTGAGTGAAATAATATCCCCAAAACTAGGCGGAATCTCCTCAAGATCACAACATTCATCCAATTTTAATTTCTCAAGGATTCCTCTCCAACCTCCCACTTGGACACAGCCACTTGATACAAATTCAATAATTTGAGATTCTCAAAATGAAATCCATGGTAGAAGAAAAGAAGAAGAGAGTTATGAAGCATGAACTTAATTGCCTCTCAAGTTCAGCAACATTAGAAGCACTAGTTTGCTAAATGAAGTTTGAAAGAAGAATAAAATAGCGATTACCTTAAAGGTTGATTTTACTCATTTCTACTTAATAAACTTCTATCAAACACATTCTTTTAACATAAGCAATTATTTGCAGTTTGAGAATAGACACATATACCTGCCATTATTTTTTTATTCCAGTTTTGCGAAATTATTTTTTACACATGACCAATTATTATTCGACTACATCATTAACTTTGAAACGTAAATAATCAACATTTTATCTTTTTGCTAATTTATCCTCCCTAATTCCAAATCATATTCAACAAGATTCAATAATTATTATTGAATATGTGATTGTCAATCTAATTATTATTCAACAAGATTCAATAATTCCAATAAGAAGTAATGAAGTATCAAGTGTTGTTGGATAAATTTGAAGATGAAGACAGAAGCAAAATACTACAGAAGAAGATTCACAAGAGCGTTAACAATAATTTGGTACAAAGAATAGAAGAATGTTACAACATCAAATACTAAATTGTTCTCATAATTCACAGAAACTCGAAATGTATAGTTTCTCCGCCTCAATTTGTCTGATATTTTTCATTTCTTGAAATTTGAAAATCGTACCAACTTTAATTAATATTTTCAAATTACAACTTATAATACTTCTTGTATAATTTTTCGAATATTTGTTTTTTAAATTTATAATACGGAGTTAATTTGATTCAAAAAAAAAAAAAACAGTTGGAAAATAGCCATGTTGAGTCTGTACAAGACATTCTATTAGTGGCACTTGCACATTTGGATTAATTTCTTCAGTAGAGGTAGAAGTAAATACTCAAATTAAAATTCTTTTTCTTAGAAACAGGAGGGAAATAGGATGACATACAGCAAACTCGAAAGGCATAGCAGAGCGCGGCACGCCAAACGCCAACTAGCGAGGAGGTAAATGGAGCAGGGAAGGGTTCTGCTTTTTGATGTTTGTGGGAAAGAAACAAACTTTTGTTGATTACGTTATGCTTCAGTTTTTGAATGAAATTTCATGAAACACATTCTGTATATGAAGTTTTAATATGAATGACGTACCATTTTCTTCCTGCTCGTCTCTCTATCCTTCATTTTCTTTTCCTCTTACTGCAAATACAGTCAGACATATCAAATGGTGCACACAAAGAACAGAAAAAACGTTCCTTTTCTTCACTTAAATAACGGGATATTATTCCGGCCAACGACTTGAAGCTCGTCTCCTCCCCTCATATCTTCAGCATATTCCTTAATTTTCAAAGCAGATCTTCTAGTTCAGTTAGGAAATCCAATTTCGGGAACCAATATTGCGCTGTTGAACAATTCCATGATTCCTTGAGATCAAAACCAAGCACTTGAAGATTAAGAAGCCTTTTGAAAATATCCTCTGTATCTTTCGAATAGGAAAGCACGAGTTTGTGTAAATGTCTCAAGTTCTGTAACTTTGTGTCCTCTGCTATCAGTATTGATTCATCTGCATCCATATCAAAGAAAGAACAATTACTCATGGCCAGGAGTCGCAACTTTACAAGATCCCAAATTCTCGGTAATAGTATCAAGGTTGATTCTTTGTTTTCAACCCACAAGATTTCTAGATTCCAGAGGTTTGAGAAAGAAATAGGCAGAGATTTAACTTGTGTCCCAATTCTTAAGTACCTCAACATGCATATTTCATTCAACAAAAAATCTTTCACCATGATAAAAGACGGTTCTAGGAACAAATAATCATGCACAAGATCATGAAGTTGGTAAGTCGGGTACTCACCTATCTCATTGAAACAAATTACCAAGCTACTGGAAATCAAATCATCCACATAAATCTTCACCACTTCTTCCGTCTTTTCCACAAACCCTCCAGCAACCCATACAGCTTTCAACTCATAGATTGTCAATGCTTTGTCCTTCGGCCTACTTGCAAAGTACAGCAAGCATGGCTTCAGATGATGAGGTAAGTGGTCAAAACTTATTTCAATAACTTTCATCACTTCCACTTTATTCTTCAAAATAAAAGAAAGCAAATTATTTACAACTTCAAGCCACACACTCTTTTTCTTTTCCCTCCCAACAATGACTCCAGCAATCAGATCCACAATCAAAGGAAGCCCTTTACAATTTTCGGCTATTTCTTTACCAACATCCAATAGTTCATCAGGGCAACTCTCGTTTCCAAATGCCCTTTTCTCTATTAACTCCCAACTTTCTTCTGATCTTAGCAATCGAAGGTCAAGAGGAGCAGTGTAGAGCTTTCCATGCAAAGCCACTTCCTTTTCTCGAGTTGTCAAAATAATTCTACTTCCTTTCTGAGCTTCAGGAAAAGATCTTGTTAACTCATCCCATGTAGTAGTATCCCACACGTCATCTAATACAATAAGATACCTCTTTCCGTGTAGTTGTTTCCGTAGCTTATCAGCAACATCAATATTCTCACTCAATTTTGAATTTGAGTCACTAACTTGATTGAAAATTTTATCCAACAACTTCTTCTCGTCATATCCTTGGTCGACCGTGCACCATGCACGAAGGTCGAAATGGCTAGAAACTGATTTATCATTGTATACTTTGTATGCCAAAGTAGTTTTACCTGAACCAGGCATACCAGTGATCCAAATGACATCTAGATCTGCCGGTCCATTGGTGAGCTTTCTAAGTATCAAGTTTGTCTCCTCCTCAAAACCTACAATTATTTTATCAGTTGTCAATGACTTTCTCTCAACCGGTTTCTTGAGAGAGTTCACAACGATGAGACCTCTGTTCTTGGGGATCTTCTCATGTAAATCAGAGACCTCGTCTTTGATAAGCTTCATCTTCTTTATGGTAGTGGGAAGTGAGAAAATAAGATGTAAGAGACCATTATCTCGAAGTCGTGTACAAGAGTTGATACATCTCTGGTAAGTGTTCCAACACGATCCAAGAGATCAAAAAGTTTGTCATGATGAATAAAGTCCTTAAGCATATCAGAAAGGATAATCAACAGGAATTCCATCATGACATGAATGTTTCGAGCCCCTGAAGTGCTAGGGGTAATGACAGTTATCATATGCTCTTGTAGATGAATAAGATATTCCCGAAGAATGTCCGGAGAGGTTTCCAGGAGCTGCTTAATGAAGAGTCCATCTTCTTCTGAAGTTGAAGCTTTCAAATTTGTAAAATATATGCGCATAAGCTCCAGTTCAGTTGGAACAATCTTCAAGAGTAAATGTGCTAACTTGAAGAGTCGAGAGTCTTTAACATTCTGATCATTCTCATCTAGCTGGGCGAGTCGAGAGTCTTCATCAGTCTGATCTTCCCAAAGGAAGCGTCCTACTCTCTCAGCCATCAGTTGAAACAGAGGTAAGACATTCTCAACCATCTCATGCTTAATGCGACCATTCACTATCAATCCATGGAAATCTCTTACGTTTCCACATACATTCTGAAGAACCTCATATTGTTAGGAACGAAAATAAGCAGGTGTAAACGCGGAAGCTAGCAAAGCAAACCTCGAAAGACCACGAGTAAGAAGACAACGAGAAATATATCAAAAGACACAAAGATTTAACGTGGTTCGGTCAATCGACCTACGTCCACAAAGGAGATGAGCAATCCACTATAAATGTGAGAGTACAAAATACAGAGGGAAACAACCTCAACCAATTCACTCGGAATACATGAGAGGTTCACAAATTCTCGCTCTAACCAAAACTCTCAAAGCCCTTAAAACTACATTGTGAATGCTAATTAAGTTAGAAGGAACATGCCTTTATTTATAGAGTCCTAAACCTTTTCCTACCAAAAAAAAGAATAGTCAATTCAAAACCTTTTCCTAAAAGGAAAACCTATTTATGGTAAGAAATCAGGGCAAATAAAACCCAACACATATTGTGTCACTCTAGGTAACATCTTTTCAGCATGATGCCTCGCTAGATGATAGAGATTCAAGAGGAGGAAGTCCAATTGCTCATCCATCATGATAGCATCTGATTTATAAGAACGATGATACAAGCTGATACAGTCATCCATATTACTGGTGAGTCTAGTAAGGACATCATCATCCAAAATTGGTTGAAGCAGATTCTCATCCTCTTGTCATTATATCTTCAAACTGATCCAAATCGGAATAAGAAAGCTGGACATATGTACAAATAAATGCCAGCTCCAATTTTAGCTTTTCAATTAGATCCACATCAACATCCTTTTGATCTTGTTCATTCTTTAATCTCTCCAGAACATTGGCAACGTCCGTGCGAAGAGCAGAAAATGACATCTGCCAAAAGACCAATCAAATTTACAAAGCCACATTTCTACCCTGCAATAACTGCTAACACATAGTTCAGTGACTTCAATGATAGAACACATAAGGTTTAGTGAATTTAGTGGACAATAAATAGTTTTTAGAATATTACATATACACAAGTAAAGTTCATTGATCAAGGGTGAAATTAGCTCGAGAATCTACCTGCATTATTTTATTTTGTTTACCTTCAAATTTTGATTATATACTATAATAAAATAATGATCCAAGTAAATATAAGATACCTGTAGGTTGCTTCTTTCCATGACAGTAATTCTCCGGATCTGATGTAGATAACAAGTTTAAACACAGAGTTGTAATTAGAGACGATAGGAACCTTTTCAGTTGATGAAATATCTTATATGTATGTTCTTTGTTTGTGTGGAGGAGAAAATACCAAGAAAATGACATAATAAATAGGTTTGAACAAGTCAGTCAGTCAACTGACATTGGGACTGTACAGGCATTCATTCTCAACTAAAATAATTAATAGCATACTATATGGCTTGTTTACCCAGAGTAATCGAAATTTAATTTGTACACAAAGTATAATGATACTAACTCGCTATATATTTAGTAGATAATGTGCTTGATTAAAATCTTACTAGAAAAATCCCCTGGGAAAAAAGTGATCTCTCGTAACTGCTTTGGTTGCTTGTTATTTTACTAACGTCGTCTACTTAATAGTTCCGTCGGGGCTTTGATGAAACAAATTGTAGACATCTTTTTAGAACAGTAAAAGGTGTAAGAACCTGCCAATTTGTTTGACACTTCTATGTATGAAGACTCTGGAGATTTGGACGTGAACTGTCACATTTCTCCGCTCAAATTTTGCCAGAATATTCCAAAATTTTAGAAACTCCAAATACTTGTTTTCATAATTTTAACTTTGTACACTTACAAAAGAAATTCAACATTTTTCCAAGTTATATTTATTCTTTCTAGGCATAGTACATTAAAATGACATTTAGCTTGACTTCAGTGGATAACTGTGACCTTTAACTTTGCTTATCTGCCATAAAGGAAAGAGATAAGAAAGTTAATCAAACTTTCAATACTCTCAGTTTGAAGTCAATGAAGTGATTGAGAGAACTCAAGTTCAAATTTCAGCGGAGTTATCTGATACCTGTTGCTGGTGCGTGTTTTCAATAGTCATGGCTCGATACATTAACTGTTTTTTTTTCCTGAGAAGGGATACATGAACTGTGTTTGTGATAGAATAGATAAATTGATTGTTAGTTGTAAAACCAGAAGTTTCCAAGAGAAAGAACAATAATCCTAATATATTAATTGTGTTGCTGAATCTGATAAATGTCAGGGATAAATAAACAGTGTAATGAACTTCAGTGTTTACTGAGATAACATAGTTAAACAATTCATGTCGAGTGAACTCTTTGAATAATTTATTGGTCTGCCATATGAAGAATAACTTAATGTTGCACAAATCCTACATTTTGACAATTCATGTTTATCTTTCCTAGTTAGACGCTTCATTAGCTTTTGAGCTCTTCTTGTCCAGTGGCTCTTTTGCATAATTGGTTATCCAGCTTACGCTTTAATTAAGGCACTTGTGATGGAGGAGATTGCCAACACTAGTAAGGAACTTCAAGAGCTTAGGGTGATTCTACAGATTCTTCGAGACATTCTGTGTCTACAGATCTTTTGGGGCCACTTTGTCTGAAATGGTGTCGCTAACAAGTGCCTTGTTTCGTCTTAAAATTTGGAGTTATCGTCTCCATATATCCTTTTGTTTATGCTGGAGTAAGGTCTATATAGTTTCCCCTTTGTTTGTTAATTAATTCTTTTTTAGCTGTTAAATGTGCCCTCAATGTTCACTTATCTCTATATACTTGTATTAATACATTATATTCTTATTTGGAACTGAAATTAACAGGAGAGCTTCTAGAGCTTCAGGGATTAAAAAAAGTTAAGGTACTCTTTCATTTGTTTAGATCACTATAATTTCTAAGTGGTTAGGCCCCTAAGGAAATAGTTGAGGCCTCAAGATCATCCGATGCTTATGCTTAAAATCAACTATAATAGTACTAAATAGAGATAAATAGACATTTACTCTCAGTGGATGTTCTAAGTGTTGGTGATGATATTTTCTTCAGAATAATACTAGGATTGCACAAGCATAGTTGCATACATTTCAAACAGAGAATGTTTGGCAAGTGCTAGAATGAACTTCTAATTTTAATTGAATTTATGCTTTTATAAAAAATCAAATTGATGAATAAAATCAATTCTTAACTGAAAATTTCGTTGATGATTCAATCCGGGGGGAAAAGGCTTGGACATCTTTTGAACCTAGAAACACAATTATGGTTGCCAAACTATGACAGTTCCGAGGAGAGAATCAGGAGGCTTGGATAGTTCAAGCTATACATTATTTCGATTTTTATAAAATTGAGGAAGATCAAAAGCTTAATGTGGTGTCGCTCTACCTTGATGGTGAAGCATTACAATGGTACCCGTGGTTATTTAGGAATAATCAATTAAGTGATTGGTTGCGTTTTGCTGATAAGATGAAAATTCGATTGAAACAGAAATGATATGAGTCTGCAGCAGAGTGAAGCGCCAATCTCGAACAGGTAACCTACGTGACTGAGTACCAAAATCGTTGTGAGGATATTTTGTCGAGCTTTGGTAAGTCCGATGTACTCTTCCCAGGCCACACATATGTTCATCCATGTTGGAGCAATATAACTAACTCTCTTATAATGTAATACCATGACCAATCATAATGCAAAAGCAATACAAATGTGTGTAAGGTGTGTGATTAGTTGTCCGATAGGTACAAAGATTCATATTCTCTCTTAGTCTCGCTATGTTCAGCAAGCTTATTCAACTTTCCATTCCAGATGGGCATGTCGAGTCAAGTACACGGTGTGCTATTATATTTGTATCTTTTACAATATCAGTAATGTAGCAATTTTCTGCAACAGGGAAAGTAAATGTATATTTGCAACAATCAATGGAGTAATAGTCAACATTAATTTATACAATGAATGTTGTTTTTACTACTGGGAGATTTTTTATTTTTTCTTACTAGTTGGACTACCTGTGAAGCTACTAACTTTGGTACATTGATACTCAAAGAGGTAATACCTTGTTAATGGTGAATAAAATTCACCTGCAATCATTAGAAAAATAGAAATATGACTCATTTCATATCATGATCCAAATTCTCTTGACCAAGGATCATAGTTTCATCTACTTTTATTGTTAGCAGTTATGTCGAAGCTGAAGCATTAAGGTAACTTACCTAACTCATTTACTCATCATCTAGTTCACAAGGTTTGGCACATTCTTCATCATGAAATCAATCATTTGACATCATCAATTGCGCGATCTGCGTTGACATCGGTATATTGACAGTTTATTTCGCTGCTAAAGAATGAAAATGCTATTGTGTACTAACTCAAGGTCAGTTTATAGAAAATTTGGTACATGTATGTTAAAATTTTTGCTCGTGCAGTTTTCTTTACTTTGTGTAGAATATTTATTTTTTGTGTAGTCGCCAGTTGATTTTCGTATGTGTTTTATAGGCAGATGTGCGGCTAGCTGCTTAAACTTTTGTTTGTTTAGGTAAAATTTGACTAATAAAAGTATTGTCAAGGTAATTTTACTCTTTTTTAGCATTGATATTTGATAGGATTAACATGTTCTGCCAGACTCACTGCTTTAGTCACTCGTGTTGATTTCTTTGTCCCTCGTCGGGCGGCAAAAGATTGTTTCCCCCCCTTGATAAAGCCTTCTATAAGCTAGTAAAGATAATGCAGTCTTCAGAGGCTAGAGGGAATGTTTAGAAGTTTAGATGTTGCATATCTTTTACCTTCTACTCCGTGCTTCATAAACGTATTTGATTCCCAAAGATTTGTACAATCTTTTTGAGCAATATCGGAAGAAGCTTATTATTTTCTAGTTGAAGGTGTGCCCCTACTGCTCCTCAAATTTGTTCGGCTTGTTTATTTGTGGGTGCAGTGTAGTATGTTTCATATGCTTGTTTATTTGTGGGTGCACTTTATTTCTAAGACCTTGTAAGTTTCCCAAAATTATTAACAGCAACCAGTCACCTGGCGCCTATTCAGCAGGACTTGGATTGACATTCTTTAGTATCAACGATTTTTACAAGTAAAGAAAATGAATAGCATACCAGCTCATAGTTGCATAAGAAGGTTTGTGCTTTCAAAATTGTCGCCTGTTTCTTCTTCGTCTTAAATCCTATTGTGACAAAATTATTCAACCTCGTGGAAGAATGAACATCAATAGTCACTTTTGAATCTTCACTTGCGACAGTAGTTGGTTGTGTTTTTCTTGGAACAAACTCAAGTGCATGTGTATTCATGATTTTTGGATAATCATAACGGCTTATTTCAGCAGCAGGATTTTGGTTCCGTTTTTCATGCAAGCATGACTTGTCCTGTGGTACTTACAATCCTTTGTCGTGAATATATTGTTCGTAACTATTGATATGTTACTCTCAACGGGATTTATTTAGTGCAATGAGATACAAGATACATGTACATTGCAGTATTGTTCATTGGAGTTACAATAGCACTGTTGTCCAACCAGTTGTTTCCGTCGAAAGATTGAGTATATTGTGCTTTCGTTTTGAAATGATTTGAAATCCTTGCTCAATTAAATGATTTTAACTCTTTTTCTGTTGTTGTAAGTCTTTAACATGCAAATTCTCTGTCCAAGTGTTAACATAGAAAGGGAAGACGTCATTTCTACTAGTATCTTTGTCTATAAATCGAAATTGTGAGTATTCAGATAGTCGACTCCAACTTATTTGGGATTGAGGCATAGTTGTTGTCGTTTAATGCTTACAACCTTAGTATGTTAATATTACGGATGTTTTGTTTTGTGACTTGTAGTGGTCTAACAACCATTATCAAGGAGTTATGCTTCCATTACCCATGCCTCTAAATCTAGATATACTGTTTGCGTTCAAGCATTTCAGTCAATAGGAAAGTCATATCATTGAACATCGGATTATATACAACCTCGTAAACATTATAACCAATCAACTTATAGTCAAAATATAAAGAAGTAAACATTAATTGTCTCTTATAAGAAAAATAGCACTCTAGTTCCTAGTCTGTCTCTTTTCTACTGACAAGAAACCTGAGATTCTTTGTTCATGTTTTAACTATTGCTAATATTTGTTCAAATCAGTTTGATGGTGTCTTGTTTAGTAGTACAGTATGTTGTCGTTTTGAAATGGTATAGAATCATTGCTTGTGTAAATGGTTTAATCCTTTTCTATTGTTTTAAGTTTGTTGTTGTGTAGTATATGATAATTAATGGAAATTATTATAAACTTTGGTGTTTTACTACATTCAGCCATGATTTTGAGTTTGGATAAAGTCACTTATTATGTATTCTCCTTTGCAGCCAGCTGATGTTAGTGACAATAATTATAGTGAAAGTAGTTGAAGTTCCATAAACGGATCCTATCTTGAGTTTGGGTGCTATTGATTTGAAGTTTAAGCAAGTTTTGTAGTGATATGAAGTTTCTTGTAATCGTAATGGTTGAAACAAATGATATGTTTTTGTTCAATTTGTGATATACTTTTGTGTTGAATATTGTATTATTTCTAATACAAATATTGGATTCCTCTTGCATACGGATAGTACAGATGGATAATATACAGTCTACTAGAAAATTAATGTGTGCGTGAATGGAAAGAAAAAAAAATAAAGAGAGAACGACAATGGCGGACTACATAGCATAGGAATAGTAGTTTGGTATACAAGATTAATGTTTAAAATATAAACTTCAGATAGTCACTTCAATCATATAAGCACTTATCTTAAAATTACATATGATCAAGTTGAAACCCATAATGCTACTTAAATAAGGGGATATTCTTCTGGCCAAGGATCTGAAGCTCGCCCCCTCCTCTCATCTCTTCAGCGTATTCCTTAATCTTGAGAGCAGAATCTTCAAGTTGAGGACTCTTTACAATTTTGATAAATTTCAATGAATAAATATCTCCAAAACTAGGTGGAATCTCCTCAAGCTCACCACATCCCCGCAGTTTTAATTTCTCAAGATTGGGGAAGGATTCCTCTCCAACCTCCCACTTGGAAAGAGTCGGTAGACGCAAGTTCAAAAATTTGAGATTCTCAAAGGTGTCTTCCTCCCCCATGTTCCATTCTTCTCCCTGGATGATTACATCATAAAGGGACAACTCTTCAAGGTTGGGCAGTCTAGCTATTGTTGATAGTGAATCGGATGTCAGAGGAAAGTCACACAACAACAGTTGTTTCAAATTTGAAGGGAAGTGAAAATCCCACGGCTGATTTGTCGCTACAGAGGACCCACTGTGGTTTGTGTTTGAACTTCCAAAACTTACACTGAGTTTTTCTAGTTCAATTAGGCAATCCAATTTCGGGAACCAATATTGCTCTGTTGAATAATCCCATGACTCCTCGATTTCAAATGAAAGCACTTGAAGATTGGGAAACCTTGTGAAAACATCCTCTGTATCTTCCGAATAGAAAATAAACAGTTCCCCTAACATTCTCAAGTTCTCTAACTTTGTGTCCTCTGCTATCAATATTGATTCATCTGCATCCATATCAAAGAAAGAACAAGCATCCACGGACAGCACTCGCAGCTTTACAAGATCCCAAATTCTCGGTAATAGTATCAAGGTTGATTCTTTGTTTTCAAGCCACAAGAATTCTAGATTCCAGAGGTTTGACAAAGACAAAGGCAGATATTTAACTTGTGTCCCAATTCTTAAGTACCTCAAATGATTCAACATGCATATTTCATTCAGCAAAGAATCGTTCACCATGATAAAAGAGAGAGTCAGGAACAACACTCTAAGAAGCCTCAAGTGTCTTAGGTGAAATGTATCAAAAAGACTGTCATCCAGCTGGTCTTCATTTATTTTCAAAGAATAGATGTGTTTACCAAAATGTCTTTCCTTATTTGAACTAAACAGGTCAAAATTAAGCCCAAAGTGCTCCTGATCATTCTGGCTTTTATCAAAGACAAAATTAATTTGACGTGGCAATAAATCTGATGGAGTACTTGATTGTATCCGATCAAACAACTTTTCCTTTCTTGCTTTTATCAAACAAAAGTCATGCACAAGATCATGAATTTGGAAATTCAGTGCATCACCTATCTCATTGAAACAAATTACCAAGCTACTGGAAATTAAATCATCCATATAAATCTTCACCACTTCTTCCATACTCTTCATCTCCGTATTTCCCACAAATCCTTCAGCACCCAAATAAATACTCAACTCATAGATTGTCAATGAAGTGTCCTTCGGAAAACTTGCAAAATACAGCAAGCATGGCTTGAGGTGATGTAGTAAATGGTCATAACTTAATTCTATAACTTTCATCACTTCCACTTCACTGTTCAAAATAAAAGAACTCAAACTACTTTGAACTTCAAGCCACACACTCCTTTTCTTTTCCCTCCCAGCAATGACTCCAGCAATCAGATCAGCCACCAAAGGAAGCCCTTTACAATTTTCGGCTATTTCTTTACCGACATCTAATAGTTCATCAGGGCAACTCTCGTCCCCAAATGCCCTTTTCTCTAATAGTTCCCAACTTTCATCTGATCTTAGCAATCGAAGGTCAAGAGGATCAGTGTTCAGCTTTCCATGCAAAGCCACTTCCTTTTCTCGAGTTGTCAAAATAATCCTACTTCCTTTCTTAGCTTCAGGAAAAGGTCTTGTCAACTCATCCCATGTAGTAGTATCCCACACGTCATCTAAGACAATAAGATACCTCTTTCCATACAGTTGTTTCCGTAGCTTATCAGGAACATCAATATTCTCACTCAATTTTGAATCTGAGTCACTAACTTGACTGAAAATTGTATCCAACAACTTCTTGTCGTCACATCCTTGATCGACCGTGCACCATGCACGAAGGTCGAAATGGCTAGAAACTGACTTATCATTGTATACTTTGTATGCCAAAGTAGTTTTACCTGAACCCGGCATACCAGTGATCGAAATGACATCTAGATCTGCCGGTCCACTGGTGAGCTTTCTAAGTATCAAGTTTGTCTCCTCCTCAAAACCTACAATTATCTTATCAGTTGTCAATGACTTTCTCTCAACTGGTTTCTTGGGAGAGTTCACAACGATTAGACCTCTGTCCTTGGGAATGTTCTCATCTAAAGCAGAGATCTCTTCTTTGATAAGTTTAATCTTCTTTATGGTAATGGGAAGTGAGAAAATAAGATGTAAGAGACCATTATCTCGAACAATAATTGAATCTATGACATCTTTTGCCTCATAAGCCACATCTAGAACACGTGCCCAGATATCTTTATACAATCCTTGCTCAGCATCCACAAAGAATGATCTTATGAATTCCAGGTCTTGCTTCACCAGCTCGATTTGTTCCTTTATCAAAGCAATTGAATAAGCATTAGAATCTAGCAAATCATTTAAGTGCATGTGTAGAAGATGCATGAAGAGTGGTCCATCACTCATGGGGAAGCAACATTGAGATGAATCTGGGGCTTTCAGATAAACATGTTTGAGATCTTTCTTGAGGAGTTCAATATTTTCCAGCAAGTCTAGGGTTGCGCAATTTGTTTGGTTATTACCCTCTTTATTCCTTAATTTCTCTTCCAAGTCACGTACAAGAGTTGATACCTCCCTGGTAAGTACTCCGACATGAGCCAAGAGATCAAAAAGTTTGTCATGATGAATAAAGTCCTTGGGCATATCAGAAAGAATAAGTAATAGGAACTCCATCATGACATGAATGTTTCGAGCCCCTGAAGTGCTAGGGTGAATAACAGTTATCATATGCTCTTGTAGTTGAATGATATATTCTCTGAGAATATCCGGTGAGGTTTCCAGGAGCTTCTTAATGAAGCGTCCAACTTCTGCTGAAGTTGAAGCTTTCAAGTTTGTATAACATATGTGCATAACCTCCATTTCAGTCGGAACAATCTTCAAGAGTAGCTGGAAGAGTCGAGAGTCTCTATCATTCTGATCATCCTCATCTGAGTCTTCATCAATCTGATCCTCCCAAAGGAAGTGTCCTACTCTTTCAGCCATCAGTTGAAACAGAGGTAAGACATTCTCAACCGTCTCATGCTTAATGCAACCATTCACTATCAACCCATGGAAGTCTCTTATGTTGCCACATACATTCTGAAGAACTTCATATTGAGTCACTTCAGGAAATATCTTTTCAGCGTGATGCTTGGATAGATGATACAGATTCAAGAGGAGGAAGTCCAATTGCTCATCCATCATGGTGGCATCTGATTTATAAGAACGATGATACAAGCTGATACAATCATCCATATTACTAGTGAGGCTAGTAAGGACATCATCATCCAAAAGTGGTTGAAGCAGATTCTCAACCTCTTGTCTTTTTCTCGTCATTATATCTTCAAACTGCTCAAAATTGGAATAAGAAAGTTGAACATATGTACAAATAAATGCCATTTTCAATTTTAGATTTTCAACTTCATCTTTGTCAAGAGATTTTTGATTTTCCTCATTCTCTAGGAAAACCAGAACATCGGCAATGTCCTTGTTAAGAGCAGAGAATAACACCTGCCAAAATAATACATTTTAAAGCCACATATCTATAATTCAATACTTTACGGTTTACTCTATAAAATAACATACCAATGAGTTGTTTGCTTCTTCATTATCTTTTCGTTTTTCCATGATTCTACTTTTTCTCTAGACCTGATGAATAAAAAGTAGATAAAACTTTAACAGGAGAAAGAAGATGAAAAGATAAGAATAATCAATAATATCACTATTTTCACACATAGTAATTTTAGACTCGCACAATTGGAAATGTCAATCTTAATCACACATCAAAATGTTTATGACATAAAATCACAAACATAAAATCTCACAACTGTTAAGTAAAATGTCATTAAATTAATAATCTCTCTAATAATATTTTTCTCCTATCTCCTTGGGCTAATGGAAAAAGATTACTCTTTTATTTTGATAAAAACTAGTCTTCGGAACTTGCATCGCACGTCTGTCCCCTAATTGATATTAGTAAATTTTAATTTATATAGCTATGTTCAAATGTATGTCCTTTCATATGTAAGTTTAACATAAGAATTTAACTTTGCACAAAGTGTAACATGAAAATCTTGTGTTAGATGTTGGAGGTCTGATATATTAAATACTTCATGAAAAATGAACATTTATTTTATCAGAGGAATTAATATATTTTAATTATTAAACATAAATTTTAATAATCAAAAAAGAAATTGTCTATAAAAAAGATACGTATAAAGAAAAATATTACAAAATGTTTGGGCGGTATACCATCAAATTTATAGAAAAAATTAAAATTTCAAACGAAAAAAAAAGAATAAATAAAGACGTCGCATCCATAAAAAAAGACATCACATTTAAATATATAGACAAAATATTTTCATACTAATTGAATTACATTTTGTTAAAAGTAGACTTATTCTAGACAAAACATGCCTTACTCTAGACGAAACATATCATATGCATAAAAAACTATAATCATATATAATAATAAATAAGACAAACAGAAAAGAAGACATGAATATGTTAAGAATAAAGATAAACTGTATTTCTTGAACTATATATATATATATATATATATATATATATATATATATATATATAAATGAATTCTAAAATAATATTATTCAATATATCATTTAGTCATTTTTTACTATACATTATTTTATTTTATTTTTTTACTTTTGCACTTATTTTGTACCTCTCTATAACAATTAAGTGCATGAATTTTTTGAATATTTGAGATTACATATAAAAAGGAAAAAGTACAAATATGTTGGTTTAAAAAGATAAATGATTATCAAACAATGAAAAATACATAATTATTATTCTATGGGATTTAGCATGTTTACCCTCAAAATAATTAATGATAAATACAAAATGTGATTAGCTTTATTATATATATCCTAAAAATAGAAGAAAGGATGAATACAAAAATACAGTAATTAACTACAAAGTTATATTTAAAAACTCAAAATGATAGAGATGTGAAAAATAAATATTTACTTACAACTTCATGTTGGAGTATATTCATCTTGTAACTATCATAGTTTACATATTCCTCAACAAAAAGAAGATGAATATGTATGAAATTTTAAAGGATTAAATAAAATAGTAAGAATTCTTATATTTACAAACTGGTAATGAAAATTTTACAAGGGAGGTAGACTAACCTACTGTAGTATGCGAGATGATTATAAACTTGAATAAAATAAGGAATATATATAATGTGGTGTGAGCGTGTTTGATAGACTCTTCATTACCCCCCACTTATCTTACAAATTAAAGTTGAAAGGTTATTAGACTCTTCATTATCTACATTTAATTAGTACATGAATATATGATGCATTAAGATCTTATTTGACTTAATATTTAATTAATTAAATAGATATTAATATTAATTTATTTTAGAGGTAAAATAAGGTTAAAATGATAATTCAACTTTGAGGTTAGAAGCTTCTCACTTATAATAATAATATATGATAATAGTAAGATTTTTTGTGAGAGTAGCTGAAATAGAATCAATAGAGATCTCCGATTAAGCATGTTCATACCTTTTTGACATATTTTTGTTAGACAGGTTGAAGTAAGAGATTGAAGTCTAGATCTAGAATTGCAAGATTAATAAAATACAATTCATTGACTTCACAAGTCCTTTAAATACCAAAAGTGCTCACTTAATCATTAAGTTTAGCAAAGAAGAAGATGGTACCTTTACACAAGCTGAAGTTTAGCTACAGAACCCTTTGTTTGAGAAATAATGCTGAACCTATTGGAGAAAAAAACAAGTGTAGTAGTTGAAATATACAATACAAGTCTTTTAGTAATGAAATATTAAAACACAAACCCATAAGTCTTTTTTTAATCAATGTCTTTTGTCTTTCAATTTTTATACTGGCGAAGATAAAAACAAGTGGTTGTCATTTCATCAAACACATTGAAGACATTGGCAATTTCCACATTATAGAATTTAATACAAAATATCAAAACATGAATTCTTGAAATGGAGTATAATAATTATTTTCTTCACAATGAATATACGTACTATATGTGTATATGTTCAATATAACCGGAGAAAACATTGCCAGAAAAAATAAATAACAGAGTTTAAAATATGTACTCAAAAACAATAATTAATATCATAAGTATAAATTAATGAGGAAAAAAAATTATACCGCGATACGAAAAAATAGAACGAAAAAAATTGAGTCCACTGAATGCACAATGTCCTCTTAAGGAAACTACTATTTCCCTCCAATTCCGAAAATTTAAAGAATTACATCCTCTTAGGATGAACGATGTTATTCACCCATATGGGTTCGGCTCTGGTGGGCGCCCACCCAGTGACTCTAATTCCTAAATTCGTCTATACTGTCAGTAACTCATTCAACAGCATCAAAGTAAGTACATGAATATTTAATTTTGCAGAAATAAAAGAAAATGATTATAATTGTTTTTTGTTTTAAAATAAGGGTGTGTAGTATGAAGGAAAACATTTCTCGGAAAATATTTTTTCAATTTTCTCATATTTGGTTGGATGAAATCATTTTTCTCAAATTTAAAAAAAAAAAAGACTTCCTTTCCAAACTTAAGGAAAACATTTTCCAAAATTCTTTTCTAACCTTCCCCTACCCACCACCTGCTAGCCCCCCACCCATACCCCTAAAAAGTTTAAGTTTAGTTTTTTAAAATATTTTAACTTCACAATTTCTTTTTTTCACCCCTACCCTCGACCCCCAACCCACCCCCTACCACCCCCATCCCCAAAAAAAATAATTTAAGTTTGTTTTTTAAAAAATATTTTAAACTTAAAAAATTTATTTTTTCACCCCCTACCCTCGACTTACCCACTCCCTACCAGCCCCCCTCCCCCCACCCCCCCACCCCCTCTTCAAAAAAAAAGTTAAGTTTGTTTTTAAAAAATATTTTAAACTTCAAAATTTCATTTTTTCACTCCTACCCTCGACTCCCCACCCCACTCCACTAGCCCCCTACCAGCGCACCCCCACCACGAAAAAAAATTTTAAGTTTGTTTTTTTAAAAAAATAAATTCAACTTCAAAAATTATTTTCTACTCTAGTAAAAAATAAAGATATTTCTCAAAAGTATTTTTCATTGAAAAAACAAACACTAAAATATTTTTCTAGAAAATATTATCTACTGACCAACCAAACATCAGAATATAAGTAAAATATCTACCTGTTTTTCAGAAAAACATTTTCCAAGGAATTTCCATCATACCAAACACACCCAAGAGTATATTCCTCTATTTATAGACAACAAAAGGTAATGTGAACAAATATTTATTGTGCCTTATTAGAAAGGATAGAACTATTTGTAAAAATTGCAACCCTTCGGAAAGTTTATAACGTTTCATAAAAGTCGCAACTCTTCATAAAAGTCACAACTCTTCATTAAAGTCGCAACTATATACATATATACAAATCTTATAGGGATGAACAAGTTTGAACAAGTTTCAGTTTTGTAAACTATCTTGATCTTCGATTAATTTCACGGGATATATAGATCTAGATCTACATGTACAAATAGTTTATCTTCTTTTTTTTGAAAGAATTTTCTTGTGTATTATGTACGAGTATAAATATACAGGAAGAAATGCAAAATTTTAGCACAATATGAAGTGTCTAATCAATCTTGATATTTAAGCACCCAAATTCAGTATTTCGCTTTGATAGGTTCATAATTAAGAATCAAAATAATAATAGAGACTAAAATAAAATTCATTGACTTTTCAAGTCTTTTTCATCAATTTTGTAAATATGTATATTCATATTACAAGTTGATAGACTTGTGGAGATTGTTAATTAGCTTGTGAATGAAGATGATGTGTGTGTAGATCATGGATTTGAGCCACTAATGTTTCTATACTAATGTTGGGTGTAGGCTGCGTTCTTGTTAGCGGAAACGTGAAATTAAAGAATAAGGAAGAACAATAATGAAAATAAGAAAAGAAGAAGAGAGTTTTGAAGCATGAACTAATTACCTCTGCAATATTAGAAGCCCTGCTCCTTGTTTCAGAAACAGAGTAATTGTTTGCCAAATGATCCAATTAATGTAGTTGAAACAAGATCTGGACTTTATTATTATTATTATTATTATAAGTCTTGTTATTCACATAGGAAGATTCCTAAATGAGATTATTAATTCAACTGGCTAACAATGAATTAATTACTTGAAAGGCCAACTTAACAAGAATAAAATATATATATATATACATCTTGACAGTTTGTTCATTCATAATACTAAAATACAATTCATTGACTTTTGAATTATACATCTATCATCTTTTTGGTGCTTCTAATTTTGAGTGACAACGACATTATCATATGTTACTTTTCTATATTACTGAAGTGGAAAACTCCAAAAGTTAATTTTTTTAAAAAAAATAAATAAATTCCATTTCCAATTTTTATTTTTTTTTAAAAAAAGAACATCCTTCGTTTCAGAAAGAATGATCTAGTTTGACTTGGAACGGAGTTTAGGGAAAGAAAGAAGATTTTTTAGTCTTGTAGTTCTAAATTAAAATTATGTCATATGTACCAAAATGTCATTTAATCTTATGGTCTTAAACATGTTACATGAAAAATTAAAATTAAAATATTGTCAAAAAAGGAAAGGTGTCATTCTTTTTTAAACAAACTAAAATTGAAATAGGAACATTCTTTTTTAACAAGAATAATATATATATATATATATATATATACTAGTTTGTGAGGACGTGCTTCGCACGTGTGTTTCATGTGACTTTTTATAGATACGTTAGAATAACTAAAATCTCATGAAAATATATATATATATATATATATGTGTGTGTGTGTGTGTGTGTGTGTGTGTGTGTGTGTGTGTATGTATGTATGTATGTATGTATGTATGTATGTGTGTGTGTGTGTAAATTGTAATGAATAATAAAATGTAACAACTACAAAATTAAGAAGTCTAACAGAGTAAAAAAGATAAAAAGAAACACAATATTTAAGAAAAAAATACAATATAGACATTATTCTTATAAAATTGATGTATATATAGATGAAAAAATAAGTACAAAATTAGTACATAACTCTTTTAGAAAACTAAATTAAGAAGTCTAACAGAGTAAAAAAAGATAAAAAGAAACAGAATATTTAAGAAAAAATAAAATATCGACATTATTCTTATAAGATTGATGTATATATAGATGAAAAAATAAGTACAAAATTAGTACATAACTCTCTGAGTTTTTATTGATTCCTTTCATATCCTATCAAAATTCAAGAATCTTCATCATCTGTTTTTACTATAGAATAAAAATAATATCCTAATAATCTTGGTAGGGTTTCATGAGATAAAGAAGTTGAATTTATATAAACAGAATAGAAGGAATATCAAAAGATATCTTAAAGTTTTAGTTTAAATATTTGGAAGTTATGAATATGAAAAGATGAGAGTTATGAATATTAAGAGTATAAAAGTTAAATAAATAATTAGAAAATAATAATAAATAAATGAAAGAATATGAAAAAAAATTAAAGTTAGCAAACCATGTAAAAAGAACAACTAAAGTTCTTATCATGTAATTAAGCATTAATGAATTTAAATTTGTGAAGCTAGAGTCATTCTTTAATAATAATTAAGAGGACATTATTAAAGTGCATCTCCATTTTATAGATTTGCACCCTTTAAATTATTAAATTTAGTTATTTATCATAAAGGATAATACTTTATCCACAATTATATTATTCATGAGAGGGGTTAAGAAAAAAGTTATAAGAAGAGGAAAAGAAAAGAAATTTAGGTAAAGATTTTTTCTAAAAAAAATTATAATTATTATATACACATAGATTATAGATGATAAATATTAATAGATTAGATATTTAATTAGTAATTAATCTTAGGAAGTCCAAAAGTCATTAACATTTAATTAAATTTATACAATCAAATATTAAATATTTTATAACAATTTAATTTATAGTAAAGGTAAAAGCGTAATTCAACTTTCAACTTTTTTGTTCATGCTTTTAGTAATATATGATATATATATTGACGGTTTGTTCATTCATAATACTAAAATTCATTGACTTTTGAATTATACCTATCATCTTTTTTTGAGTTACCAACGTCAGGGGCAAATGTATATTGTCGAGACATGAATGATTTGGCTTTTAGATGAGATGGTCACATATATAATAACTTTAGGATCCACCCGAACCCAATGAGTCAATGACGATAGATTTTTCCTGTAATTAACTTTAAGGTTGATGAGGTGAAAGGAAATTTTACTCATTTCTACTTAATAAATTCAGTTGAGACTTTTATCAAACACATCTTTTAACATTAGCGGTTTTCACTACAAGACTTGATTTTTAAGCAGCAAAAATGGTTACTTATAACAATAGAGAACATGTTATAATGCTGCTGTCACTTAAATTATGCTCCATAATTTTCCTTTTTGATTTTTGTTAATCATGCTGACTGGATTAACTTGCACACATTTCAATCAATTTCACAAGATACCGTTCACTTTCAATTTGCATGCACTTTGACTAATTTCATGCTTAACTCTATTCGTCAAAGACATGGATAGATTATAGAAAAAAGGCAAAATACATAAATATGTCCTATTAACTTGACTTCAAATAACATTTATGACCTTCAACTTTGGGCATGCACAAATACACACTTAAACTTGTATAAAGTTTATCAAATAAACACACATGTCCTATATGATATCCTACATGTAATTTTTTGTCCTACGTGGTGTCCTGTAGGACTCGTGTGTTTATTTGTTCTATTTTATATAAGTTTAAGTTCTACTTGTTCATATTCAAATTAAAGTTGGAGGACATAAACGTAAAATGAGGTCAAGTTAAAAAGTACATTTATGTTATATGCCAATAAATCACCCTTTTCTTGCTGAACTGCATTGCTCGCTGCTCATGAAAGAGTATTAATTTCTTATTTTCCATGCTATGTATGATCAAATTTTGGACTATTTTGATAAAATAAAAGGTAAAAAAAGGCTCAATATGTTGAATATTTTTGGGTGTGGAGACGACGGGGCACTATCGATTTCTCACAACTTGAATTTTATTATATCAAAGTAAGAACCCGATACAGTCTTACAATCTTTACAACACTTGTTGTTTTCTTCAGCAACACTCTTTACTTGAGCATTCATTCTTGGTTGCTCTCTTGCTTTTATTACTTTGTTCTTGCTAGCTTGCCTACAACTCAAATGGACCACCTCTATTCACAGGAGGTGATAGAACAATCTAGCTAAACATATTTTTCTGCTATATCATAGAATATTCCTTTAATTACTTAATTCTAGAATTACCCTATCTAGAATACTAGTCTCTCTAGAATACACATTTAGAGATCTTCCTCAATTCTCCATAACTCCGGAATATTCTAGATTTTCTTGACTTGTCTTGAGTACATAATTAAGTTGGCGATGAATTCTTTAAAAAATATATTATCGAATTTTGAGAAAAAGTTTATTTATGTAGCTTGACTCATTTATGTCATTGTCGTTTGAGAAAAGACATATTCATGCTATTATTTTTTAGGCATATTACATGAATATGCCCTTTAACTTGATCTCCTTTCACATTTATGTCCTCCAACTTTGAATGTGCACAAGTACACACTTAAACTTGTATAAAATTAAACAAACAGACACAAACGTCCTACTGGCATCCTACATGAAAATTTGTGTCCTATGTGGTGTCTGTTAGGATTGAATTCACGCACTCACACTTGATGAATGAAGAACACAAGAACTTTCGAAAGAAAGAGATGAGAGATCTAGAGAGAGAAATATAAAATCCAATATTTCGTGGTAACACCCCGTGAGTAAACTTCCACGGTGGTGAGGTATATTTATATTAATAAATCAGAATATTTTTTATTGCAGAGAATAAATAGTAAAGCCTAAAATTTCCATAACCCCTGGCAATCTCACCGCGGAGGTTAAACCACATAAACAATTATATATATTAATCAAGCTCCACAACCTAACAGTGTCTTGCATGTATTATGACAAGTAGGACTCGTGTGTCTATTTGTTCGGCTTTACACTAATTTAACTGTCTTTTTGTGCACACTCAAAATTGAAGGACATAAATACAAAATAAGACTAAGTTAAATGGTATATTTATGTATTATACCTATTTTTTAATTCCAATTATGCAAAATCATTTTTTAAACCTGACCATTTATTATTCGACCACATCATTAATTTTAAAACGTGAATAATCTGACATATTGTCTTTGCCAATTTATCCTCCCAAATTGGGATGACACACCCAATTTTTATATTCTATTAATTGAGTATTGAGTACTGAGGTGATTTCTAATTAACATAAAATCATATATAAAACTATAAATATAGAAACATGTGAAATAAGATGATTATATGGTTACTAACATAATAAGATATGATTTGTAAAAAAAATTTATACACATCAATACAGTAAGGTTATTTGCTTTCAATTTCTATTACCACTTAACAATGAAATCAATTAATTAGCTATAAAGAGGCATATTTATGTAATTTCTAAAGAAAAATGGAATTGAGCATATTATTGTACTTATTTTATTATTTAAACCAAAAGTGACAAAACTTAAGGGACTAACTATTATATTTGAAGGGTACAAAATGGATACTATCCCTATACATAAGTGATAATTTTGTCTTAAAAAAGAACTCTGATTATTTCAGTTGCGATTTTGGTAAGCAGAATCTTGATCCTAAAAAGAAAAATACTTCATTATGATTTCTTCATTTTGAAGACAAGTTTGAGTTTGAAATTCTCATCGTGTTTGTCACCTACTATGTTTGAACTTCACCTCATAAGTTAAGTTCTATTTGTGTTTGTCGAACAATAATTGAATCAATGACATCTTTTGCCTCATATGCCACATCTAAAACACGTGGCCAGAGATCCTTGTACCATTCTTGCTCAATATTTCTTATCCATTCGAGGTCTTGTTTCACCAGCCCAACTTCTTCCTTTATCAAAGCAATTGAATAAGCATTGGAATCCAACAAATCATCTAAGTGTCTCTGTAGAAGATGCATGAAGAGAGGTCCATGAATGATAAACATGTTTGAGATAAACATCGTTCTACAACTTGATTTAGAACGATGTTGTGAGCTTATAATCAATATTATCCCTGAGGCTAGCAAAGGACACGATGCATGTCGTATTTACATGCAACGTTGTTGTCAACATAATATAAAATTGATTGAATCAGATTCTCAACCTCTCGTCCTTTGGCAGTCATTACATCTTCAAACTACTCCAAATCAGAACATTTCAGCTTTTCAACTTGATCCACATCAACAACTTTTTGATTTTTATCATTCTTCAATCTCTCTAGGAAATCCAGAACATCGATAATGTCCTTGCAAAGAGCAGAAAATAATACCTGCGAGAATAACACATATCAAATTTTTAAGGCCACACGATATCTACAATTCAATACTTTACTCTCTATCAAATACTAACATACCAATGAGTTGCTTGCTATTGTCGTTTTTCCATGATTGTAATTTTCCTTTCAAGTTCTGCATAAAAAGTACACACAAACTTTATCATGTAAGAAGTCACCCTGCTTCTCACCTAGTAAGAATTCACACTTACCGGATGTTTAATACCAAACTAATACAACTTATCATGGGTAGGTAATGATTTAATAAGGTGAATATAAACATTAACTAATCATAATTAAGTGATAATGTTGTCAGTGACGGAGTCAGAATTTTTGCCAAGAGTGTTCATACTTTAGGAAAAAACAGAATAATGAATAAAAAAATTGTCACACTTGGGCTCGAACTTGAAGCTAGAGGTATTCTTGCACAGCCTTAACTGCTGGGCTGACAACCTTTATTATGTCAAGGTTGTTCAACAATTAGTATATATCTAAAAAAAATCGATATTTAGTATATATTCGGAAATTTTTTTTGATGAAGGTTGTTCATCTAACCAACCTTGTCAAGCTATAGCTCTGCCCTGAATGTTGTGCATCTATTGATTTGTTGTAAATCGATGGTGTTAGTACGTATTTAATTCTCTCTCTTTCTCCTGCATTTTGTTTCTGTTTATAGATTTCATTTTCCTTGCATCATTTTTTACTTTTCGATAATTTTACTTCAATAGAGATGAGAGTAGCAACCTTTTTACTTGATGATGAAACTATATATCCTTTGCTTGCTTTGATATTAGATTTATAGTGCTCAAAATTCTTGAAGTAAACAGAATACGGTGAAAGAGAGTGAGCGCACTCTGCCTACATTCTTGTTCTTCAGGATATAACAATTCAATAACGTCGGTATAACTCAAGAAACTTCGAATTAATTTAATAGTCCAAAACTTCACAAAAAAAAATATTTTTCTTCAACATATAATTATTCTCTTTTATATAGTGAATATAGTCGAAGATTTTAGAGTATTTTTCTTTGTCTCGACTCTATTTTCACTATATTAATCTCAATATAAACACAATGTAGTATTCCTCGTCTTTTTCACTCCACATTTTCTTGTATATCTTTTGTTATCAAAACAAAGTAAGACCATCACTATTCAATGGTGATACTTCCTTGCAATAAATAAAAAGATTATAGAATAGTAAATAAAGTAAATAAATAGTCCAAAAGTTACACAAATTACAAACATAATGTATTCGAATAATAACATTCAAAATTCTTCTCTACTATATTAAACTTTGTTGTTTGAAATAAAGTCAAACCTTAAAATTTTGTGGATGCAAAATTCTAAAATTTAAAAATTACAGAGTACTAAATTAATAATTTTTATATATTCAATAAATTTCTTACTACAAATTACTCTTATATTAGAAAAGGCATGTTCAACATGCCTGCTTCATAGGTCTGAGGGTATTTTAGTCTTTTTAGTACTCCATTCTGGCTACGTGTCCTGTTGTTGTGCTTTCAATGTACACGTTACTGCAGACTACCGATACATCAAAAGTTCTCCTTTCTCCAGCATTCTGTTGAGGTAAGCTTCTTCATATGATTTCTTTGGTTTTTTTGTGATCTTCTTTGTTTTCCTCAAAATTGATGATTTTTTCTTCTTTTTCAGTTGGTTTTAGTGTTGATGTTCAATTTTTGTTATGTGGTTGTGTTTTTCCTGTTTAATTACTGATTTTTGCTTTGTTTATTACATGCAACAATTAATTTAGTCTGTCTTCATCATAATTCTTTTGAATCTTATCTGTTCATAGATGGTTCTTTGTCGAAATTAACTTTTTGGGTTCCTTAATTCCAGTTGTTTTTTCCATCATACTTCTTTTGGACTTCCTCTGTTTGTATATGTTGGTTTTCCATTGGAATTAACTTTTTGGGTTTCTTCATTTTAATCATATACTGTTGTGGGTTTCGCTTCGAGTTCTTTTTACATCATTGCATTAACTTTTTGAAATTATTTTAATTTACAGTGTGAAAATTTAAAGATCTGCAACTACTTATGCCAGAATTTGAACTATCGATGTGTCTTCTTAGCAAATTCAAGGATCTGGAACTACTTATACCAGATTTGAACTACGGGTATGTTCGTTGATGGTTTCTTACGCCCTTTATTCCGATTTTGCTCTTTGTCCTACATTAGATACGTCTATGAGCTTTCTTGCTAAAGTGCATCTTCATTATCTGAGTTGTGTGTACTGAAGGACCTGAGAGAATTAGAGAACCGATTATTATGGGTGCTTCGTTTGGTCATGGGGAGAAAGTCAATCTGCATCTAGCCAGGGAAGCTGGCCACTCCTATTGCCAAATTGTCCGTGCTGCTAATATGAGAGTCAGAGAGATAGAAAAGGCTCTTATTAGAGGCAATCATTGAGTATCCTACAACACACGTGTTTCAACACCATTTGCTATAGATTTGTTGACCAATCAAGTAAGTTTATTCATTTATAGCAACTGTTTGTGTTGGTTATTATGGAGAAAATTTTCTGTTCTAGCATCAATTTGGTCTGAAATGAAGGGTTGTTGCTTTAATCTAATCAAACTTGGAATTATTCTTTTGCTTATGTGTCATAGTTGATTCGAATGACATGCATTCAAACAATTGCTATGTTGTCGATGTCTTAAAGATATTCATGTATTATGATGTATGAATTTGTGTAGGTGCACTAACTATGATTCTAATGATGTATAAATGACATTTAACGAAGTTTCGACCCGACTATATGTGATCTGTATGTTGTGAATATTGTACAATGATTTGCATATGCTATTGGTTATGATACTTGACTTCATATGCATACCTGAAAAATATTAGATCTCACCTATATAAGTGCTCCCAAAAGCTCTATTAATTGGCAATATTACTTACTATTATTGTGTCTTAAAAATAAATTCTCAACAAAATGGGTTTTCAATGAGTTGTTGAACTTCTGCTTGTCTTACATTTGTATTTTCCTATTGGCTCATTTGTTTTTTTTAAAAAAGATTCATTGGCCTGTTCTGGTGAAAAATATTGTCAATAACTTAGAGCTATTGGAGTTAGCAATTTCTTTATTGAAAAACTGAAGATCTTCTCGAAATAGCTCTTATTACTCTTTTTATTAATCAAGTGGAGTGTCAATGGTATGATCAAAGAGAAGGTAATTGTATATGACGAGAGCTGATACATGAAAAATGCATTTTTTGAACTTGTCAAGTCTATCAGTGAGCCAAAATTGTGTTGTTGTTGTAGTTATAACTTATTATTCATTACAGCTGCATATAACTATGGCTATAGTATTATTGATGTAGTTACTTTGTGAAGAAGGTTGACTCATCATCCAACTTTATAGTGATAATTAAACAAGTTTATTTACTAGCTCTTCCTTTTGATTAAATTAACATAATTTTTTGTGTAGTTGTCCATATTAATTTTCAGGTTTTGTAAAAAATTGCATCCTTTATTTTCCTCTTTACTTTTTTTTCTATTTTTTTATTTGCTATTTGGATATTAATTGTTAAGTGTTAATTGCTATCATTTTTTATGCTATGCTTAGTTTGTGGACTAATAGTTCAAAGAAGCTTAGCAGTCGTCCCTATTCTAGAAATTGAATGGTAATTCTATATTTTATACTGTTAAATTTATATATTATCAGCTTAGCTTAGTAGGAGAAAGTTACAACATGTGGGAAATGAAAAGGCTAGAAATACTCAAAAATGAACCAAGCAAGTCATGGCTTTTGTTGGCTTCTGCAATAGGAATGAGATTACTATGCTAAAATAGAAAAATGAAGACCCCTTTGTAGAATGCAACATCATTATTTGTTCCTTGCATAAATAATCTAGCCCAAATTTTTTTGTTCCTTGCATAAATAATCTAGCCCAAATTTTTTTGTTCCTTGCATCAGTGTTATTATCCATGCTCTTGAATAATTAAAAGCATAATAGTTGCTCCTCTTTTTGGCACAAAAATACTGAATTCATATTATTGTGAGTTGTTTTTAGGAATATTATTAGTTGGCGAACAAACAATTAATTTTTGTTCCATATTTTCAAGACATCCATAAAGTTTCATCCCTTTAGAATATTGAAGGAAAAATATATCGCTGAGACATTTATTTGTTAAAGTAATTCATGGTTTGTAAACATCTTTTATTGAACTTGAAATCCTAATGTTTCTCTATTTAATTAAGGTAGAACAAAAAATGAGAAGGTATGTGCAGGTTTGGACAATGCGATGAGATGTGTTGTAAGAGTCATGTTCTGAAGGATTAACAATGGAGTGTTTATATTGTTCGTGCCCCTGACTCTACTTGCTATGTGAGGTTTGTCATCTCTCCGTTTTATCACTTTGAATTTATTATATGGATGGTTCCTCACTCTTTGAAAGTGTAAAATGTTTTTGTATTGATATTGTGCTGCTGTGACTATGTTTATTGATGCTCTTCTTATGGCCTTTTAGTTTCTATATTTGTAAGGAGTTTGAGATTTTTATTTCAGGGTTTGCCAATTGAGGATTTAGGAGTGCAAATGTATTCTTTCATTTCACAGCTGAGTTGAGCAGTCATATGTTATTGTTGTGCGAAATTCGAGATAATACGTGAAAATATAAACGCAAAAAACAAGACAACAGATTTACGTGGTTCACCAATAAATTGGCTACATCCACGGGGAAGAGAGGGAGCAGTTTTATTATGGAGAGGCAAAAACAGAATTACAGAATAGGGTTTGCCATAGCGTCTATATATAGTGCTAAGCTACGCCCTAACAGACTTGGGCCCAACATACAGAATTGACAGATAATTAAGGGCCCAACAGCGAGACCCCCGTCCTTTCTGTTGTAACGGGTCCGATTCAAGGCATTCAACAGTTATGATTAAATATTTCTATTTCAGATCCTCATACTACTTTTTAAATTACTACTGAAGTTTAGTAATTTGATTTCAGTCGTAGTTACGGCATGAGTGTGTTATCTAATATTTATATTCTATTTTTGAGTTAGTTTTTTATGTTAGTTATGTTGAAATTCATTTTATTAACATGATATTAAAATTATACCAGCACGTCCATGTTGTGTGATTTTCAATATTTATCGCCCTGCTGTGTTGGTGTGATAGGGTGTCTCCATAGATTTCCAGAGTGAAATGTTGTCTACAAATGATGGATAATAATATGCTGCGGCAGAAATGTTGAAGTAGTATATCAATTTCTTGCTCTTCATTATTAAAGAAAAATTAGTTAAGTAGTTTCCTCATTTAAATTTTAGTTGTTTAGTAATAATTTAGAATGCTAATACAAACTTTATACTTGCTTCACATGATGAGGCCTCAACAACATTGGTCTATAGAGAGTTCGTTTCAATGGTTTTCAACAAGGTGTTTAATTTGTTCCTACTCTAAAATGAATGTGTTAAAGGAAACTTAGACTGAATAAGAGGTTAGACGTATCTTCTCTTAGAAACACCCCTAAAAATTCAAGTTAGTGAGACTGACAATACTATCTTTGATTTGTAAATCAGTTTACTTTATTAGTGAATCGTGAATTTGTGATTAATAAGATTTGTAAATCAATTGTTCCAAGTAAAGTATAAAGAAACAATTTATATGCTACCAAACTTTGAACCATGAACTCCTCAAGCCATGTGTTGTGAAATATTGCTTTTGAAACTTTTGTATGTTGAAGTGTTTGTAACAGATGTAGGATGTGGACATGCTTTCTTCTCTTTATTTTTCTAGGGAAGTTGAGGCAGAATCTGAGAGTGAGAAAAAGCCTAAACAGATTTAAAAACTATTTATTTATTCATCATGTAGACTATTTAATTAAAAAGGAATACATCTTTAATTAAATGTAACTAAATCTGTTAGAACAATATCTAGGAGAAGAAGCTAAAATAGAATACAATAGACTACCAACTAAAAGGTTATACCATATAGAATTAACATCCTCTAAATAAATCAAAGTTACATAAGTTAGGAATTCCCTCTCCCAGCGCCAAAATGTGAGTCTAAACCTCTGTCTCCTACAATTTTATCTAATATTTAGTGTTAGTCCGCCTAAAAGATAATGAAATCCGCAGATTTGAACAGACCATAAAAGTTAATCCTGATGATGATGATGATGATGATGGTGATTCCAACACGGAAGACGATAGGGATAACAAAGAGAAGGCTGAGGAAGCTGATGATGGGAACAAAGACCGTAGTAATTGTAAGAGTGATCCGCTTATCACAGATCATGTTAGAGTCCTTTGGATGGATGAGTCTGAGTCTACAGAGAGTAGTAATAATGTCATAGTTGTCGATAGAGGATTTCTGCATGGTGATTATGTTGCTGCAGCTTCTGATCCAACAGGTCAAGTAGGACTCGTGGTTGATATCAATATATCTGTAGATTTATTAGCGCACGATGGCTCTATTTTTAAAAATGTCTCATCTAGAGAGTTGAAACGTGTTCGGGGTTTTACAGTTGGTGATTATGTTGTCCTTGGCCCTTGGTGGGGTAGAATTGATGATGTTTTTGATAATGTCACAGTGATGTTTGATGATGGTTCTGTATGTAAAGTTATGAAGGCTGACCCTTTACATCTTAAACCAGTTGGTAGGAATGGCCTTGAAGATGGACATTTTCCTTTCTATCCTGGTCAGCGTGTAAAAGCTAGCTTCATCGTCAGTTTTCAAGAATTCCAGATGGTTATCTGGCTCATGGAAAGCAAATAGGTTAGATTATGAATTCGACTCTGATACGTATATTATTTGGTAGGTCATTTTCTATTGACAGAATTATTTATATATATATATATATATATATATATATATATATATATATATATATATATATATATATATATAATTCAAAGAGTTATGTACTAATTTTGTATCTATTTTTTCATCTATATATACATCGGTATTATAAGAATAATGTCTACGTTGTATTTTTTCTTAAATCTGTTTCTTTTTGTCTTTTTTTTCTCTATTAGACTTCTTAATTTAGTTTTCTATGAATGTTTAATTACTGTAAGTCTTTACACTTATTTTGTAACCAGTTTCTGATAACGTGCATTGCACATTTGTCCCTTACGTTCATTACAATTTTTTTTATTTATTTAGAAGTGAGTTATAAGATATTGATATTGAAATTAACAATATTAATTTTACTATTTATTTTTTATTGATTAAAATAAATCATAAAATAGAATGGTGCATTTGCTATCAAACCAGAAAATGTGAATCATGACTTAAAATGTCTATGAATTCGTGATAGAAAAATAATAATAAATGTATCTAATGCCTTTAATGAAAGAACAAAGGCGCGAGACAAATTTATCAGAAATATAAATTTCAATTACACATTTTGCATTTTCTATAAAGAACATAAACATCGAAGCTTAACGACAATATGATAAGATTGTCTTGCGAACACAATTACTTGTGATAAGTCCATGGGTCTATATATGAGTATATTCTGATGATATGATGTTTCAGTATTCATGAAAAAATCATCACTCTATTCAAATAGTAAAAATAATTAATATGTTTTAGTTTTCAAATTTAATTTTTAATAAACAGAAAATAAATTAACAAAATAAAAAAAACAGACGAACCAATAATAACATTATAAACATGCTTATGATGAGTCATATATAATTTGAAGGAAACAATACTACAAATTCAAACTGAAGAGAAAATAATATCTAAGACATACTAAGATTAAAATATGTTCTCTAACTAAGATCTTAATCTTAATCACCCATAAATTAAATAGGGAAAGAAAAGACTCTTGTAAAAGAAATGATGATGTATACAATTTAAAAGCTTGTATGTGAAAATAAGAGAATAAATATATTGCATAAAAAAATTATAGATGCGAAAAATACCATGTGTGATTCTTAAAGGTAAAATTATTTTACTATTACCTGTAAATTATATACTTTCATCATATTTATTGTTGAAATTTCACCTTTTAAAAAATGAAAAACAAGCTAAGAAAAAAAAAGTAAAAAGGGTAAAAAGGAACAAATAAAGACTAATAAAATAGAGAAAGGAAAAAATCCAGTGAATATCCTGATTGAAACAGCGTTATAGAAATACTCGGATAAATCAATATACCTTGAATTTCAAGAACACTTCAAATTGCATCACATATAAATCTAAGAAGAGACATATTCTACAATAAGAGGAGGGGGGATGGGGGGTTGGAAGAAAACAACAACAAAGAAATAGTGTTAAAAATTTGACACCTTCCAATTTCAAAAAAGAAAAATGATGAAGGGTAGGGGATGCTGGAGGACTATGAGATTTCTAGGAACATAAAATCAGTTTCTCACCGTGTGGTTGTCGAGAAATCGCTGCAGACACCACACTTCATATGTTCTTCATGATTGTCTTAAAGTCTTCGATTTCTTAACTAAAATAACGTTCCTATATCTTCTATACCTTTTGAAATGTATATGAAAATGAAATAATTTACTTAAAGATAAACATAGTTTCTTTATTTACCTGAAGAAAGTCATTATTTCACTTGGAAAAAAGATTTATTACTTTCAATTGCCTTTTTGTTTATCCTATTCATGGTTATTTAAATGTAAGTTTAACTGTTGTCTTTTCATTTATCCTAATTATTGTAATTGAAGTGTGAATTTATTTTTTTCAGGTCATTAAAAATGAAAATATTATGCTTTTATTTTCATATAATGTTATATATATTCAAATAATGTTCAAGTGAAGGGTAAATTCGTAATTCAACTTTGAGCTAAAGGACTTCCCACTTATAATATAACTAGTCTCCGAGCACGTGCGTTGCACGTGTATCCCAAATAAAAATCAATAAAAAAATAAATGAAAACGTATATAATAAACTATTAGGAGAATTATGATGTTTTTTTCGAGTGTTCTTTCGATATTTTCGATCTACTGCACATTAGATAAGTCTCCAAAGCTTCCAAGAAAGACACATCAAGTTAAAGAATTAAAAAGGGAAAATGCGACGTTACTTAAAGTCATCTGGTATCCTTAATGTGTATCGTTACAAATGTAACTACTTCCTTAAAAACTTTCAGATATACCCAGACTTACATTTACAGGCTTACAACTACTATCCATCACTGTTAGAGAAGACTTGGAGTTGCTACATTTGTTGAAGAAAATGTGATATATTTTGCTAGCAAACAACTGCAATTTCAATTTATTATTAATAGTTTGAAAGTTTAAACATGGTTTCTTTTCTGTGGGAAGCTATGCGTAGAGAGTTTCAAAGAGAGTTGATCATCATTCAGCATCAAACCATATGTGTACAACAGCATTCAATTTTTGATATGTGTGATTATACCTTTCAAGCTATTTATTTTACCTATTAAAAAAATTAGAAAGTTATCATTCAAATGAAGTTAGCAAATCAAACGAAAAAATCTAGACTTAATAAGATTGTACCTGAAAATTAGAAGACATTTTTGTACCCACTTAACAATGGAAGCTTGTGTTGAATGACTAATATTGAGTATGTTTATGTAGTGTAGTCTTGGAGATTTGTTGATAAAAACTCTTTGATATTCCTCAATTACTTAATTTGATCCTTTTCAACTTCTCATAATTAGCAAAATACGTTTCAACTTCTATATTAATTGAAACTTTATTAGTGTTCATCCTATTTGGTTGTTTCACACATA